TGTGGGTAGAGCAGGCTTGGAATGGCTTACTGGGTTGTTTAATGTTATATTCAAGATTAATAAGATGCCTGAAGAGTGGAGGTGGAGTACAATGGTTCTGCTGTATAAGAACAAAGGCGATGTTCAGAGCTGTAACAACTATAGGGGTATCAAATTACTAAGTCATACCATGAAAGTCTGGGAGAGAGTGGTAGAAATGAGAGTACGAAGGACGGTGTCTATTTCAGATAACCAGTTCAGGTTCATGCCGGGGCGATCTACCACAGAAGTTATCCACCTTATTAGGAGGAGGATGGAACAATACAGGGATAAGAAGAAGGATCTCCACATGGTGTTTATCGATCTAGAGAAAGCGTACGACAGGGTTCCTAGGGAGGTTCTATGGAGATGCTTAGAGGTTAAAGGGGTCCCATTTGACTACATTAGGGTGATTAAAGACATGTATGATGGAGCTAAGACTCGGGTTAGGACAGTAGGAGGCGACTCCAACCATTTCTCGGTTGTTACGGGGTTGCACCAAGGGTCTGCGTTCAGCCCTTTCCTATTTGCCCTGGTGATGGATGCCATAACGCATCATATTCAAGGGGAGGTGCCATGGTGCATGCTATTTGCTGATGACATAGTCCTAATTGACGAGACACGACGCGGCGTCAACAAGAGGCTAGAGGTTTGGAGACATGCCCTTGAGTCTAAAGGTTTCAGGCTGAGTAGGACGAAGACGGAATACCTCGAGTGCAAATTTGGGGTCGAGCCGACGGAAGCAGGAGTGAAAGTGAGGCTCGACTCTCAAGTCATTCCTAAGAGGGGTAGTTTCAAGTACCTTAGGTCAGTTATTCAGGGGATCGGGGAGATCGACGAGGATGTCACACATCGTATAGGGGTGGGGTGGATGAAGTGGAGGTTAGCAACGGGAGTCTTGTGTGACAAGAAAGTGCCACCATTACTAAAAGGTAAGTTTTATAGAGCAGTGGTTAGGCCTGCTAGTTGTATGGGACCGAGTGTTGGCCGGTTAAAAACTCACACATCCAGAAGATGAAAGTAGCAGAGATGAGGATGCTGAGGTGGATGTGCGGGAATACAAGGATGGACAAGATTAGGAATGAAGATATTCGAGAGAAGGTGGGCGTGGGCCCCATGGAGGACAAGATGCGGGAAGCAAGACTCAGATGGTTCGGGCACATTAAGAGGAGGAGCACTGATGCACCAGTGAGGAGGTGTGAGCGACTGGCTGTGGCAGGCACGAGGAGAGGTGGAGGGAGACCTAAGAAGTATTGGGGAGAGGTGATCAGGCAGGACATGGCACGACTTAGGATTTCTGAGGACATGGCCCTTGACAGGGAATTGTGAAGGTCGAGCATTAAGGTTGTAGGTTAGGGGGAAGTTGTGAATATTACTACAACGCACTAGAGTGAGACTAGCCAGTTAGGAGTTAGTCTTAGGATGGGGCTTTATCTGTTGGATATTAGTATACCTTACATCCTTTTCTCCATCCTTTTCGTATTTCTTATATTTCTTATATTGTTGTTATTTTATTATTTTATGTTATTATTTTATGTTATTCTATTATGAGTCTATTGATAGTACTAATATATTGTCTCTTGTTGCTCTCTTGAGCCGAGGGTCTCCTGAAAACAGCCTCTCTGCCCCTCGGGGTAGGGGTAAGGTCTGCGTACATATTACCCTCCCCAGACCCCACTTGTGGGATTATATTGGGATGTTGTTGTTGTTGTTGTTGTTCCTTAATGATTTCCTATAAATTAATTTTTAATTTTCTTATTAAGGCTTTGTCCCAGCCCATCACGGAGGCCACTGTATGCGCTGATGAGGATACCACGGAGGCCGACGAGACCATGGTGAGAAAATGGCTTTGATTTAACACGTACAATACTAATATACATTTTTCACATGCTAAGCTTAGTACTTGTTTTGTAGGTTGTTGACGGCCCGACGGCCTTTTCTACCGAACCTGCCAGCTGTACTGTCGATGCTGCTGCGCATCCTCACATAAAGAGGCGACTTGATGATGATGATCCCGATAGTGTACCCGGGCGACAGGGGATGCGACTCAGGCCAGTAGCAGCAATGAAGCACACAGGCTGCGGGACTCATTGATTTACTTTTGTTTGTACTTTGTAAAAATACTACATTATGTAAGTAATTGCAACAATTATATTTTAACAATTATTTTGTATTAACTGCGGTTGAACAACAACTTTATTTTAACAGTACAACACAAAGACAAACATAACTTTATTGTAACAGAATTTGAACAACAATTTATTTTTACTATGTACAACACAAACACAAAACGAGACGCACCTAAACATACACATAACCAAAACAAACNTCCTGTATTTTCTGCTCCAATCGTAGAACCACATCATTCTGGGCCGGAATACTCAGACCATCCGAGGTTTCAGTATTCTCAGCATTTTTCCTTCGGACTCCATTCAAGTCATCCATCTTAGTTTTTCCTCTGCTTTTCGTATTACTTTTCTTCATCCTTTCCTGAATGACTTTAACTTTCTCCATAGCTTGGTACACAAGGTCTGGCCCTATCAATCCTTCTTCACACACTTCAAGCCATCCAATCGGAGACCTACACCTCCTTCTGTACAATGCCTCAAATAGGGTCATCTGAATGCTAGCATGAAAGCTGTTATTGTAAGCANCGCGCTCATGTGGGGGGTTCAGACTCCGGAGGGGCTCCTACAGCCCAAGCGCAATATCATCGTAGCATTCGCTGCGGCGTGCAGTCCGATCTACACTCAGTCCAGATATATATATGCATGTAAGCCACTCGGGCACAGTCAAATTGTTCATTTTAGTTCAGTTATTAGGAATTATAGAGCTAAGTGTTTAAACCTTTATTTATTTACTAAACATTTCGAGGCAGTGTCTAACTCAGGACTGATATCATGCAATAAGCTAAGCATCATGGAAGCAGTGATAAGGATCCCTGAAGGATGCAAATGATAGGCACAAAGCCCCGAACATATGCATAAAATCCAAGTAGGATGATTACCAAACAATTTCTAGTCAAGAACACAGTACGAACATCAATCGGAAAGGACTAGGTCACAATCCCCAGTCACAATCGACCCCGCACTCATCATAGAGTACGTGTCTCGCCTCAATATAGCGTCACAATGTGATATACCGGGGTTTCAAACCCTCAGGTCATCATCTACATCTATTACTCACCTCAAGCCGGCCACAAGTCTAGCTCGCTATGCCTTTGCCCTTCGAATCAACCTCTTCGCACGCCGAATCTGATTAAAACCACAACGAATACATTACAATAGGCTAAAGAAACATAACCCAATCGAAAAGACTCGAAAAATACTAAAATTCACTAAGTTGGCAAAACCCAAGCCCCGGGCCCACTTCTCGAAAAATTACGAAATTTACATCACTGGATTCCTCGTCTTGCCACGAGTCTACACATACCAATTTTACCAAAATCGGAGTTCAAATGCCCTTTCAAAATCCATTTTTACATCACAACTTTTCAAGCCCTAGCTTGACCCGTTTTTGATGAATTTTCCACAATTTACATGTAATTTCTACCATAAACTCGAATAATTAGGCCAAGAGACTTACCTCCAATTGATTCTCAGTCTAAACCCTCGAAAATTCTCGCCCAAAGCTCTCAAAACCGCTTAAAAATGGTGGAAACCAACTCTTGTTCGCGGATGAAATTTAATATTTTAAACCCTTCTGTAACAGTTGTTTTTTCGCTTCTGCGGTCCCGCTTCCGCTTATGCGGGACCGCTTCTGCGGTCAGAAGTCCGCTTAAGCGGTTTTCACTAAAACCGCCCTTTTCGCTTATGCGACTCCAGATGCGCTTCTGCGGTTCTCTCAACAACCGCTTCTGCGGACCCGCTGAAGCGACCATCCTTCCGCTTTTGCAGAAATTCCCTAACCCAGGCCTGACCGCTTCTGCGGTCGCTCACCCGCTTCTGCGGAACCGCTTCTGCGGTCCATTTCCGCAGAAGCGGAAATATCAGATGACAGCAGCAACAGACCTGCAACACACCTCAAAACTCTCGTTCAACCACCCGAATTCACCCCGAGGCCCCTGGGACCTCAACCAAAAACACCAATACATCCTAAAACCTCATTTAAACTTGTTCTCATCCTCAAAACAGATCACACAACGCTAAAACCATCAAATCACATCGAATTCAAGCCTAAGTTTCTTAAAAAACTTCTGAATTACGCATTCGATCAAAAACCCGACCAAAACACCTCCGAATGACCTGAAATTTTGCACACATGACCAAAATCACCTAACGGAGCTACTGCAAATCTCGGAATTCCATTCTGACCCTCGGATCAAAATCTCACCTATCCACCGGAATTCGCCAAAGTGCCAACTTTGTCAATTCAAGCCTAATTCTACTCCGGACCTCCAAAATCACTTCCGATCGTACTCCTAAGTCAAAAATCACCTCCCGAAGCTAACCGAATCACCGGAATTCACATCCGAGCCTTCTAACTAATAAGTCAATGTTCGGTTGACTTTTCCAAACCAAACCTTCCTTAAAGAGACTAATTGTCTCATTTCCTATCCAAACCAATTCAATTCAACTCTAACTCACCCGTTGCTGATAATAAAACATGAAAGAGCAATAAATGGGGGAAACGGGGCTGTAATACATGAGACGACGGGTTGGGTCGTCACATCGAGACAGCTATCGGATCAGCCTCTCCGCCCCAGGAGACCTGACGATTTGTGGGAGTTCTTGAAGCAGCATCAGTTCCATGCCCGCGTAGTCGCGCGCCTACAGGCTACAGGCTTCTTTACGATTTTGCAGATTGGGCGGATACAGCTTGATTGGTCTCTCATCACTACATTGGTAGAGCTGTAGCGATCGGAGACGCACACTTTTCACTTGCCCACTGGAGAGGCCACCGTCACGCTTGAAGATGTTCAGGTTTTGTATGGGCTGCGCGTAGATGGACGGGCCGTTGCACTGCCCCAGTACATGAGATCCATGACGCGTGCCCAGTATTTGGATTTGATAGGGCAGTATACTGGTTACAGACCTCAGGGTGACGCTATACAGAGAGGGGGCAGTCACGTTTCTTTGTCAGCTATCAGAGACCATATGGCGTTTTTGCACCGAGACATTACCGGCGAGACAGAGGATCTCCATATTGAGCGGTACAGGAGGTTGGCGCTTCTCCTGCTTTTTAGGGGTGTCTTGTTCTCGAACACTTCGGGAAGTAAAGTGAGTATGCGTTTTCTGCATCATCTGCAGCAGCTAGATGAGTTACCCCTGTACAGCTGGGGTGCTGCTGTTCTAGCATATTTGTACCGGAGTATGTGCCGGGCGAGCATGCTTTGCCAGGTGGACATATGTGGTTTTCTGCCCCTTCTACAGGTGACAACATTTTCGAATACTCTGTTCATTAATCCGAATTCTATATGGTCGAAATGACTCTTAAATATTACATCAACCTTTTATCTAGGTTTGGGCCTGACAGCGGATCATGCCGTTGCAGCCACCTCTGCCACCACTAGAGCCGGGTAAGGCTTATCCGTTTCTTCCTCTAGCTACTAGGTGGTTTCTCCGGCGTGGGAACTACCGAGGCTCTGATGCTCATCATAATCTCCCCCTTGTCAGGGATGTGTTAGATATGCTGGTGGCCGGACAGGTAAATATGTACCTACACTTACTTGTTATAAATTGACTTGTGTTGCGCATACTCACTTTTATATTATTATTTGGTAGTTCATCTGGACGCCATACAGCGACGAGTTGCTAGCTCAGTTGCCCGATTATTGCTTAGTCGACCGACTGCTTTGGAGCACCTCCGTCCCGAGTATCATGCCATAGAGCGTGTGCTTCGCCAGTTTCACCATCCCCAGCCTATACCAGGGGAGCCAGCATGGGTGCCTACACACTATCAGCGAGATGACCGTACCAGGGTGGACGATATATTTATGGGATGGCTAGAGCAGCAGGTCCATATTTGGGAGCAGCAACAGTACCGTATTCCGGCACCACCTTCATTTACCCAGGAGGCCACTATTCAGCTGTATACGTCATGGTACCGCCGTCACACCCGACTGATGATCGGGAACCCCATTCATGTACTTGGCGAATGCTACAGACTATACGCCAGGAGGCACGAGGCATTGGTATGTTTTTGTGGCTTATTAATATCTTATAATTGTGATATAGCGTTATTTAAGTAATATTTTAAATGTTTCACAGGCTATTGGGCATCATCTGGTCTACCAGTTGGGACAGGAGATGCAGCAGCATGGCGACAGTGCTACAATCGTTGAGTATGGCCGGCAAGTGGCAGAGCTGGCTCGTCGGACCCTGTTTCAAGCAAGAGATGGCGTGAGGTTGGATCACGAGGCTCAATAATGGCACTAGAGGACTACCATCGGGGAAGGGCTGTCCCACGAGGCAGGGTTAGGGCACGAGGGAGGGGTGCCCCACGAGGCAGGGGTGCCCCACGGGGTCGCAGGGGATGGCGAGGAGGTGCTCCCCAGCAAGGGGGCGTTGAGGCACCTGTCGACCCACCTGTTGACAGACATAATGAGGATTTTGGAGATGAGGATCTTGGAGATGATCAGCCGGGTTATATCCCTCGGGTAGATGAGCCTTCTAGCAGCATGCCGTCGTACAGCCTTCAGCTATCTCTGCCAGCATCGCAGGACACCCCGTCAGGAGCATTGTTGATCACGGGTACATTCGACGGGGATGTAGACTAGTTCTTTGCAGGCCCATATACCGCAGCTGAGCATCGTCCGACCCGGGACGTGGATGACGGGCGCAGTTTGAGTTATGCCTCATCCCCGGCGGTTGATGCGGATCTACCATAGGCGCAGGTATGTTTTGTATTACAGTGAAATTTCAATTTGTTACGGGGTTGCACCAAGGGTCTGCGTTCAGCCCTTTCCTATTTGCACTGGTGATGGATGCCATAACGCATCATATTCAAGGGGAGATGCCATGGTGCATGTTATTTGCTGATGACATAGTCCTAACTGACGAGACACGACGCGGCGTCAACGAGAGGCTAGAGGTTTGGAGACATGCCCTTGAGTCTAAAGGTTTCAGGCTGAGCAGGACAAAGATGGAATACCTCGAGTGCAAATTTGGGGCCGAGCCGACGGAAGCAGGAGTGGAAGTGAGGCTCGACTCTCAAGTCATCCCTAAGAGGGGTAGTTTCAAGTACCTTAGGTCAGTTATTCAGGGGATCGGGGAGATCGACGAGGATGTCACACATCGTATAGGGGTGGGGTGGATGAAGTGGAGGTTAGCAACGGGAGTCTTGTGTGACAAGAAAGTGCCACCGTTACTAAAAGGTAAGTTTTATAGAGCAGTGGTTAGGCCTGCTATGTTGTATGGGATCGAGTGTTGGCCGGTTAAAAACTCACACATCCAGAAGATGAAAGTAGCAGAGATGAGGATGCTGAGGTGGATGTGCGGGAATACAAGGATGGACAAGATTAGGAATGAAAATATTCGAGAGAAGGTGGGCGTGGCCCCCATGGAGGACAAGATGCGGGAAGCAAGACTCAGATGGTTCGGGCACATTCAGAGGAGGAGCATTGATGCACCAGTGAGGAGGTGTGAGCGACTGGCTGTGGCAGGCACGAGGAGAGGTAGAGGGAGACCTAAGAAGTATTGGGGAGAGGTGATCAGGCAGGACATGGCCCTTGACAGGGAATTGTGGAGGTCGAGCATTAAGGTTGTAGGTTAGGGGGAAGGTTTGAATATTACTACAACGCACTAGAGTGAGACTAGCCAGTTAGGAGTTAGTCTTAGGATGGGGCTTTATCTGTTGGATATTAGTATACCTTACATCATTTTCTCCATCCTTTTTGTATTTCTTATATTTCTTATATTGTTGTTATTTTGTTATTTTATGTTATGTATTTTATGTTATTCAATTATGAGTCTATTGATAGTACTAATATATTGTCTCTTGTTGCTCTCTTGAGCCGAGGGTCTCCTGGAAACAGCCTCTCTGCCCCTCGGGGTAGGGGTAAGGTCTGCGTACATATTACCCTCCCCAGACCCCACTTGTGGGATTATACTGGGATGTTGTTGTTGTTGTTGTTGACAATTGCACATATTCAATCACTTGCTACATTTTGCACATGAATTAGTCACTTCAATGAGTCCCACATAATTTAACCGCTTCGACATACCACATCCATATAAATAAATCATTATCAATCTACACTACCATTAGTTGCTTACTTATCACATGAGTCTTTATAAAACTTTCATTTACCAAAAAGAGGTTCACATGACTTAANCTCTGCCCCTCGGGGTAGGGGTATCCCCGGCGGTTGATGCGGATCTACCACAGACCCCACTTGTGGGATTATATTGGGATGTTGTTGTTGTTGTTGTTGTTCCTTAATGATTTCCTATAAATTAATTTTTAATTTTCTTATTAAGGCTTTGTCCCAGCCCATCACGGAGGCCACTGTATGCGCTGATGAGGATACCACGGAGGCCGACGAGACCATGGTGAGAAAATGGCTTTGATTTAACACGTACAATACTAATATACATTTTTCACATGCTAAGCTTAGTACTTGTTTTGTAGGTTGTTGACGGCCCGACGGCCTTTTCTACCGAACCTGCCAGCTGTACTGTCGATGCTGCTGCGCATCCTCACATAAAGAGGCGACTTGATGATGATGATCCCGATAGTGTACCCGGGCGACAGGGGATGCGACTCAGGCCAGTAGCAGCAATGAAGCACACAGGCTGCGGGACTCATTGATTTACTTTTGTTTGTACTTTGTAAAAATACTACATTATGTAAGTAATTGCAACAATTATATTTTAACAATTATTTTGTATTAACTGCGGTTGAACAACAACTTTATTTTAACAGTACAACACAAAGACAAACATAACTTTATTGTAACAGAATTTGAACAACAATTTTATTTTTACATGACAACACAAACACAAAACGAGCGCACCTAAACATACACATAACCAAAAACAAACAGTAGAACTAATGAAAACACTTGACAAGGGAAACATAAAGATACGTTACTACGCTCAACAAGTACATGTCATTATTTAGTCATCACCGCCTAGTATTCTCCGCTCCAACCACTTGAATTGGTCTTCCAGCTTTTTTTTCTCTACTTCCACCTCCTTAAGTTTCGCCTTTAACTCGAAAATTTCTTGCTTGGATTGGTGCTGTCTTTCCCACTGCCTCTTACACACATCATGAAGATGATACAACTTGTCTTTGTAGTATTCCTGCTCACATGGTTCATCAATCCATACCTTAAAATTGCATGTAGGTACGTCGGGTTGCTTATAAAAAGTGTTCATACACTCCGAGTAGCGGCGTCCAGCTTCTTCCCAACATTCGTTCATCATGCTTTTGTTTCCGCAGTGGCACCTTGGGACTTTAAGGGGTTGTTGAGACATTTCTTAAAGATAAACTTTGGTTTTACGCAAATATTTGATATAGGTTGTTGTTAAGCGCAGAAAATAACTAGAATGCGCTCGTTATTTATAGACAAGATTTCACATAAAACGTAGTATTATACCACGCTTTAGATATTAAATTTATCTGAAACAAAACAGTTTTTTTCACATGGCTTTCAGCTTTTTTAGAACGATAAGACAACTCAAAAAAATGTAGTATTATACTGCGCTTTACATATAATTTTTTTCTGCAACAAAACAGCTTCTTCTGCAGTCATTTCAGCTTTTTTGAGAACGACGAGACAACTCGCAAATAAGTTGAATATTTGAACAATTCTATGAAGAAAATACTACATTATGTAAATAATGGCAGCAATTATATTTTAACAATATTTTTATTGTAACAGAATAATAAACAATTTTATTTTTACATGACAACACAAACACAAAAGGAGCGCACCTAAATATACACATAACAAAAACAAACAGTACAACTAATGAAAATACTTGACAAGGGAAACATAAAGATACACTACTACACTCAACACATACAAGCCATTGTTTAGTCACGACCGCCTAGTATTCTCTGCTCCAACCACTTGAGTTGGTCTTCCAGCTTTTTTTTTTCTTCTTCCACCTCATTGAGTTTCGCCTTCAACTCCTCAATTTCTTGGTTGGTTTGGCACTCTCTTTCTCATTGCCTTGTACACAAATTATGAAGAGAATAAATTCTCTCTTTGTAGTATTTTTGCTCACATGGTTCATCCATCCATATCTCAAAATCACATTTACGCTCGTCGGGTTGACTATCAAACTTTTTCATACACGCCCAGTAGCGGCGTCCACCTTCTTCCCACCAATTGTACAAACTGTATTTTTCTCCGCAATAGCGCCTTGGGACATAAAGGGGTTGTTGAGACATTTCTTAAAGAGAAACTTTGGTTTTATGGAAATATTTGCTATTGGTTATTGTTAAGCGCAGAAAATAACTAGAATGCGCCTGTTATTTATAGGCAAGATTTCACATAAAACGTAGTATTATAGCACGCTTTAGATTAACTGATAAAACGTAGTATTATACCACGCTTTACATATTAAATTTTTCTGCAACAAAACAACTTTTTCACATGGTTTTCAGCTTTTTCAGAACGACAAGACAACTCAAAAAAACGTAGTATTATACCACGTTTTACATATTAAATTTTTCTGCAACAAAACAGCTTTTTCACATGGTTTTCAGCTTTTTTAGAACGACAAGACAACTCAAAAAAACGTAGTATTATACCACGCTTTACATATTAAATTTTTCTGCAACAAAACAGCTTTTTCACATGGTTTTCAGCTTTTTCAGTACGACAAGACAACTCAAATAAACGTAGTATTATACCACGCTTTACATGTTAAATTTTTCTGCAACAAAACAGCTTTTTCACATGGTTTTCAGCTTTTTCAGTACGACAAGACAACTCAAAAAAATGTAGTATTATACCACGCTTTACATATTAAATTTTTCTGCAACAAAACAGCATTTTCACATGGACTTCAGCTTTTTCAGTACGACAACACAATCTTTTTCAGTACCACGCTTTACATATTAAATTTATTTTTTAATATGTCATTTTTTTTGGTCCACAATCTTGGTCTTCTTTACACAATTTTGGTCTTATTTACAAACACCAATATGTTTAATATTTGAACAACCATATCAAAAGGCGCGAGGTTAAAAAATAAGATATATCAAGATTATGGAACATAATTTTATTTGATAAATATTGGAACATACACAAGGACCGACACGTATTACAAAAAAAATACGAAAACAAAAGACTAAGGGTATCCTTGATAGTTGGGTACATTCGACGAACTTGCACCAGGAGCTAAAGGGCATTTACGACGGTTGGGTCCTGTTTGCAAGCATATGCCACATTTACGCGCATAAACGGTGTCAC